GATCCGTCTGTGACAAAAGCTTTGGTAGGCGATATGTCAGAGCCTCGAGAAGGACGCGCGGACAGAGGAATAAATTCAAATATGTCACCGATGGATCTGTGAAAAATTCCTTGACTAGTTTTTGTATAAATAAGGGTTGTCCGGTCCAAAATTATAAAGGCAAAAAATATGAGCAACCCAGAATCAATTGACCGGAAATTCATGTGTAGAAAATTTCAACATTTGAAAAATGTACAAAGTTGATGAAGTCGATAAATGCAGAAGCAGTGAAGAAAATCATCGAGCTGTTAGATAGATCCTGATAGAGTATATGTCTAGAGAGAAGTGAGAGCTAGAGAGAGAAGTGAAATTAATATTACTCAACTCCCTGCAACTATCCCCAAAGGGGGTATTTGTAAGGAAAATATGGGGTGGGCTCTCAAGTCTTGGGCTTGGAGGCCCATTTATAACATAAGACCTCTAGTAATTACAACTCGAAATATTGACTAACTATAGAAGTCTAGTTCTATGAGGTCTCTTTGGCCGACGTGGTGCCAGATCGACGAAGCGTCAGGCTGACGGAGGACCATGTTGCGCTCCTAGGCTTCTAGACCATTTTCTAGATTGATATGAGTTTGGCATATGGAGGGCCATCTGGCCGACGGGGGACCATCTGGGTGCCATCTGTGTAACACCCCGGCCCTGTAAGCTCCGAGGTAGTTACTTCTGGCCTCTAGTACTGTCCTCACAATCCGCCATTAGCCTTTTCCGCGCACTTTGTCCTCACTCAGGAGTGCCCTGAGAAACTTCCCAGTGGGTCACCCATCCCAATACTACTCCCGTGCAAACACGCTTAACTTTGGAGTTCTTGGCTAATGAGCTCCCTTAAAAGGAGATGCATCTTGTTGGTATGAGTAGTACTATTAATTCATTTAAATTAAATCTCAAGTATTACAATCCCTGCAACTATCCCCAAAGGGGGTATTTGTAAGGAAAATATGGGGTGGGCTCTCAAGTCTTGGGCTTGGAGGCCCATTTATAACATAAGACCTCTAGTGATTACAACTCGAAATATTGACTAACTATAGAAGTCTAGTTCTATGAGGTCTCTTTGGCCGACGTGGTGCCAGATCGACGAACCGTCAGGCTGACGGAGGACCATGTTGCGCTCCTAGGCTTTTAGACCATTTTCTAGATTGATATGAGTTTGGCATATGGAGGGCCATCTGGCCGACGGACGACCATCTGGGTGCCAGCTGTGTAACACCCCGGCCCTGTAAGCTCCGAGGTAGTTACTTCTGACCTCTAGTACTGTCCTCACAATCTGCCATTAGCCTTTTCCGCGCACTTTGTCCTCACTCAGGAGTGCCCTGAGAAACTTCTCAGTGGGTCACCCATCCCAATACTACTCTCGTGCAAACACGCTTAACTTTGGAGTTCTTGGCTAATGAGCTCCCTTAAAAGGAGATGCATCTTGTTGGTATGAGTAGTACTATTAATTCATTTAAATTAAATCTCAAGTATTACAATCACCTCCACTTAGGAACGCAACGCCGTTTTCCCCTGCTAAGTGCTCACCCAATATCCAATGGATTAGCACACTAGTCCCAGGGTTACTCTGATACCATTTGTAACACCCCGGCCCCGAGTTAGTTACTTCTGACCTCTAGTACTGTCCTCACAAACCATCACTAGCCTTTTCCGCTCACTTTATCCTCACTCGTGAGCGCCCTGAGAAACTTCCCAGGAGGTCACCCATCCCAAGACTACTCCTGTGCAAGCACGCTTAACTTTGGAGTTCTTGGCTAATGAGCTCTCTTAAAAGGAGACACACCTTGTTGGTATGAGTAGTACTATTAATCCGTTCAAATTAAATCTCAAGTATTACAAACTGTTATTTCTCTTAGTCCTCTAAGTATGTGGGTCATGGGGTCTGGACCTATATACTCTATCAGGCCCCTAGAAAGCTTTGACATCTATGACGACGACGAATCAAGCTCAAGCAGCGTGGGAGAGGGGAAGTTCTTGTGTAGAAAACTTCAACAACTGGATTAATATTCAGAGTATATGAAATCGATAAATGCAGAAGCTAGGAAGAAAATTATGGAGCTATTAGATGGGCCTCCTGAAAGCTTTGACGATGATGAATAAAGCACTGAATCTAGCAGCGTCGGAGAGGGAAAGAAATGTATCACTACTACCAAAGGAGAAAACCTTCAATCTGAAGTTATTCGTAATGTTTTTTTATTTATCAGTAGTGTTGTTTATTTATTTATTTATCAGTGATCTTAGCACTGATGATTTGTATCATTATTGATTTGAATTATGAGTAATGTTGGTTGTTAAATTTAATAAATAAATTCGTATCTTTTCTACTTGTCAATTTGATGAAACAAGAAGATATACTTTTTTGTATTCTTTATGTCAATTGTTATTAAAATTTAATAAATTATAAATTAGACTTAATATTATTATGAGGAAGAATTAGATTCAAATTAAAAACTTTTCGAGTAAATAGTTTAGTTTATAACTATTTTTGACTAAAATATAATTAAAAAATTATGTTGAAAGCTTTTCGACTAAATTATGTTAAAAAATCCAATTATTAAAATGTACTCCCTCCATCCCGTTAACAATGGGACAAGATGGAGTGAAACGCAAATTAATAAAAAGTTGTTTATGTGGTTGATATTGAATTAATAAAGTAAGAATAAGTAAGAATGATTTAAAGCCACACAAACTTTACCAAATTTCGTATGAGACAATCATAGTGAGCCGGACCGATAATGTAAAACACTAAAATGGGACAATCATAGCGGGACAGAGGTAGTAATTAATTTTCCATTTTCAAATTATTAAAAAAATTTGAATTCTTGAGTAGAATATAATATAAAAAAATCGTAGAAAGCTTTTGATTTAATTATTTTCTTATTTTCTTGAAAAATTATAGTGAAGGATTACGATCTAATTATTTTTTAGTAAAATTAAATTATTTGGCAGTTGAATTATACTAAATCCATGAAAAAGTTTACTTAATATAATGATGAAGAAAAATAAAAAATTTGAATTCTCAGTAAAAACACAATTAACAATTTTACAATACAATTAATCGCTATCACAATCATTATTTTCTTCATAGACAACACCTTCTTCTGCATGTTCATCATCATCTATCCATTCTTCTTCCTCTTCCTGTTCATCGTCTTCTTCTTGTTCATACTGCTGAACAATTTCAAACTCAGTTTGAGGTGTTGGGCGTGGAGGGTGTGTTTCTGACATGATTTCAACATGTCCGTCATTTTGATCACTTAACTCAATGTTATAGTTGACCGTCTCAGCAATAGACGGAGGTTGAAATTTTTTTGTTGAAAAGCATCGAGATCAACGTCCTTGTGTTGAGTCTGTGATACAATTTTTCTCGAACAAACACCCAAGGATTCCGTGTTCGCTTGGTTGAAGGGTATTCTACATAATAAACTTGGGCTGCTTGTTGAGCGAGTATAAAAGGCTCATTTTTTCGATACCTGTGAGAGTGGTTGACGTCAATTATATTATACTTTGAACTTTTTCTCACAGCACGTATCAGATTAACCCATGTGCAGCGGAACAAAACGCATGACAATTCTTGCATACCAGAAGGCATTTTAAGTTCGAGAATCTCGTGTAAGAAACCAACAAAAAATGTTTTCCGAATTATCATAACCGATAGTTGGGACACATAACCCGTTGTTTATTGTTTGTCGATCTTGTCCATAATCGACTATGTGATAGGGGTGTAACCATTTATCACATATGACCGCCAAACTTTTGCATGAGAAGAAGGGCCCCACACTAATGATACTAATAGAGGGTCGTAAATCTCACGGCTCTTGATCTGTAAATCAAAACATGATAATATTGGGTAATTATTAGTTAATAGTATATATAATGTATATATACCTGATATCGGTACCATGTTGCAAAATTAGAGTCCACCATTGCATCATCACGAAATGCTGATAAAGATGCTCTAAATTCACTATGAAATTAACAAAAAAATTATAACACCCTTGCTCATATTTCTAGCTATATAACCAATATAAGTACCAATTTAACTTACTTATAAAATGGTAAGATTTCTGGACAATTCATGAGGATGTAAGTATGTGCAACTGTATATTCTCCACCCACGATGTAACGGTAAGTCGCAACTCCTTTACCTCTAATTGGGAAATTGAAAATGGAAACTACTTTGTCATATTTATCCTCGCCGATGTCATCATTTCGAGCAGGTCTCTTTCTTTTAGTGATGACATCCCGCTCAAATTAAAAAGATGAGAACGTTGAGATATCTTGTTGAATATATGCTTGACAAATTGAAGTCTCAACGTGTGCCTTTGTTGGTCACTTTCTTTTTCAAGTCTCTCAGAAATCTGTCATGCAAAATAAAATTTGTAAACAAACACATGTTCTTATTAAATAAATCTTGAAATATCAATGAAATTGTGACTAACCTTTGAGATCTCTACATCTAACGATAGAAGACGGGATCTCCATTCAGAGCCTCATATGGAAGATGTATCATAAGATGTTCCATTCTATCAAAAAAGGATGGAGACAGTATTTTTTCCAAATTACACATCAAAATGGGAACAAAGTCTTCTAGTCTCTGGAGCGATTCAGCATCCAAAACGGTGGAACATATCGACTGAAACAATAAACTCATTTCAGTAATACAACCTCATACATTTGGAGGAAGTATGTCTCTCAGTGAAATCGGAAGAAGTCTTTGCATTATTACATGAGCATCATGACTTTTAATGTTAGACGACATGGTAAGGTTTTTCATGTCCAAGCATCTCGACATGTTAGAGCAATTCCCATCTGGAAACTTTAGAGACGCAAGCCACTCTAATATTTCTTTCTTTTGTGCATCTGTGAGTTGGTAGATTGATTTTGGATTTTACCCTCATGTTCTAGATCAACAGCAAGTTCGGGTCTATCACACCACATTGTCATGTCTTTTCTAGATGCAAGACCGTCTTTAGTTTTGTCTTTGAAATCGATCACCCTGTTAAATATATTGTCAAAGACGTTCTTCTCAATGTGCATGACATCTAAATTGTGATGAATAAGAAGATCTTTCCAATATGGCAACTCCTGAAATATACTTTTCTTTGTCCACTTATGGGTATCACAATACCCATATGGATCCTTATGTGGCTCTTGCACAGCCGTAGGAATACGTCGAACCCAGTTAAAAATTTGTTCGCATGTACGTCTCGGGGGTGGGGGGTCTCGTACCACTCTTCCGTTAATGAATGACTTTTTGTCCCTTCGATATCGATGGCTTGTCGGGAGAAATTTGCGATGACAATCAAAGTAACTTGGTTTTCCACTGAACTTGAGGCAATTGGCACTGGAGTTTTCCATACATATCGGACATCCCAGAAGACCGTGTGTGCTTCACCTCGAAAGCATACCATAGGCCTTCAGCCCTATGGCCGAAGGCTCCAAATTTTAGGAGACAACTTGTCACGCCCCGGACCGCATCTGTGCCACGTAGAGAACTGCCGTACAACCCAATAAGAACAACAGTTCATCCCTATTGGATTATACAAGGCGTCCGATAGATTCTATTGCCAAACCGATTAGTAAACACATACAATCAACATCAATATCATAATCAAACAAATGTGGAATTATAATATGTCTGATAGTTAGCCACACGTGGCAAACACGAGCACACATGCTCCCAACTGTTTTAGAAGAAAAACATTGTTCAAATATCCATGAGTAGTTTATAACTTTCAAATAAGGATGGAAGCACAAACCACGTCTCCCTTCTTGAACAACCACCCTAGGCAATGGTGCAGGTAGTAAGACTCTAGCCTTAACCTGAAAAAATGTGAGCCCCCCAGAGGGGTCAGTACTCCATAGAAGTACTAGTGACAAGCATGCTATATGAGGAATAACTAATGTTTCAGACACGAGACCAAAAAATAGGGTGATACATACATACATACATACATATATATATATAGATGTCCCTCATCCACCCGATGATACATACTGTATATATACTTGTAAAATACTTAACTCGTGGGTCATTTACCTTAAAGAGTCTTTAAGAGATTTCTTACCTGACTTATCTCACTCTTTTCTCGGATACCTAGCTCACAAGCTATGTTCTACATTCATAATATCCTACCGAGTTTCAGGATCATTTACCGTCCCGGGGATACTCAACCCAACCGAGTTTCAGGATCATTTACCGTCCCGCGGATACTCAACCCCAACCGAGTTTCAGGATCATTTACCGCCCCGGGGATACTCAACCCCAACCGAGTTTCAGGCTCATTTACCGTCCCGGGGATGCTCAACCCCAACCTTATTCCTTACCAAACCCTAACTGGATATGGCTAACCTTTCATTCTTTTAACTATGGACAATACCTAGCCCTATAGTCATATAATAATCCTTAATAATCAACGTGGACGGTTTTCATCCGAACGCCCCACATTATACTCATTCAAAACTGTCCGTTTGGGTGTAAAACCCAATACTCGGTCGAGTACCAACCCATACCCGGTCGGGTATAGAAGGCAGCGGCCCCTGGGGCATATTTTCAATACTTACCCGATCGAGTACCTACCTATACCCGATTGGGTATAGGAGGCAGCGACCCCCTGGGGCAGTTTTCAGAACATACCCGGTCGGGTATTTGCCAATACCCGGTCGGGTACAACAGTTGATTTGGCGGTCAATGCCCGTTTGACCACGCAAACGAAGTCCGATTAACGTGAAATTTTACATGCAAGTACTCCTTGACGTCCTTAATCTAAATATACCTATTTGGGTCCTCGGAACATCATACATATCAATTTATAATGATTTCACTAATCAAACCTACAAATAATGCTTTTCAACTATGTTATATTCCTTACATGACATAGCACATCCTTTAATATCCTTAATCAATTCATAAAGCATATACTTGATTAATTTAGGTAATCTCATGGCTCACGCAAAAGTTATAAAGCATAAATCCATCTTCTCACCTTAATGACGCTTAAGAAGTTCTAGCCTTCCCGATTTAGCTTCGGCGAAACTTCGGCGAACTTCGGCGAACTCCGGCGACGATTCCGGCGACCCTTTCAACTCCGTGAAAGTCCTTTGAATACCTCAGGCAAGTTACTAACAAGGTTTTATCATCACAAAACCCATATTATTACAATTAACCTCTAAAGGTTATTTTCCGGCGAACCGGTCACTTTGGCTTCTAAGTCCGTTCTTGGACTTAGAACTACCTTCCAACCCCTCATTCTACACTTCTAAACATGTAGATCCATCCTAGGGGTCCTTCATATGATATATGAATCGTATGGTAGATAAGAAGTTAAGGAAAGGTTGTTATAAGGTTAATACCTTAATTCTTCAAACTTTTCCCTAGCTTTTCCTTTCTTTAATCCTCCTCCTTGGACCTCTACCTCTTGAGCTTGAATTGGATGGCTATGGAGGGTGTTTTGAGAGCTTATCTCTCCTTTCTTTCTGGGGCTGGCCGAATGAGTAGGGGTGGTGTTGATTGAGAATGTCTTCTTGGCATTTCTCCCAACCATAGCATATGGGAGGCCCGACTCCATTTAATGCATTTCCCCTCACTCATTTCTTGCTTCTCCCTCCTTATTTGTGCGGCTCACCTTGCCAAATGCAAGACAAAGGTCGTGGCTTGGCCCCCACACATGTGGGAGGCCACCCCTTTGTGTCCCGATGTGTACACTCGGCCCCGAAATTGTATTTTCCGAACTGTTTTAATTATATTTTATTTTATCGGGTTAAATAAAATATCGCACATGCTCTCCATCATTATTGGACTTTATAATGAATATACATTACTCAACTTTAATTTAGAAGTGTCCGAAATTCCTTTTCGAACTGTTATCTTATAAATTGCCGATACTGATAATTGAGCCTCGTTTGACCAACCGGTCAACCTATGCCTTTGCCATGGCCCAATTAGGATATCCACCACCATATACTTATTATCTAGGCCCAGATGAATATAATATGTGGTCCCGATACTATCGTGCGGCCCCCACTTCCGGTGTGGGCCCCACGTGAATTTTACTATTCACGTAAAAGAAATGATAAAAATTTACAATCACGTAAAATGATTTTACTCATTTCTCAGGATTCAATACATAATTTAATAAAGTACAAATACTTGGGGGCGGTGTTACACAACTTGATATGAACCTGCAACGCTTCTGGGAAATTCTGGCTAAAATGTTAGCCTTCGGCTATGTCATGCCCTCGACTGTATATAGCCTTCAACTGTATGATGCCTTCAGCTATATGATGCCTTCGGCAACAAGCCCTCTCGGTGAATATTCCTTTTAGAGACAGGCAACCACCGCATTCAATGCGGCGTCACGTCCAACCACCGCATTTAATACGGTGCACATGCAAATGCCAGTGTCACCCCGATTGAGGCGACCCTCGGCCGTCAGATGTTTGACATGTGTCCTCGCCTAACATTTATGACTTCTATAAATAGCAGCCTTTACTCCTCTTGTAAAGGATCCCAAATCAGAATTGATTAATATATCTGACTCTCTCTCTCTCTCTCTTACTTATTGCTCTGACTTTTCTCTAAGTTACTTACCGTAATAACCCTTCGGATAAGCTACCCCCGGATATACTATCCGTCAAAAACATATTTTAGGTTTTGTATTTTACAATTTATGTTATGTTTACATTTTAGTATTGTTTCTTTTGCATTTGATATTTTTAAATATTTTAATATGTTTTAGATTTATATGTAAAGTCACACCCACACATGCATATATGTATATATACTTTGTATTATTTCAATCTAGAACTATATACTATACTTCATACTAATTATACACACCATAAAAAATTATACCATATAAAAAGTATAATATGAAAATAGTTATTACATTTTTATGTTATTTATTTAAAAATAAATTATTTTTGTTATATTTCTTTATAAATTTAATTTACCGCAAAATATAATTTTTTTATTATATTGTAACTAGACGTCTATATTTTATATTATGGACAACATTTACTCTACTTTTAGTTATTCAACATGTAAATTTCAATGTGTAAATGCTAAGCACAAATATTCAAATATTGTTTCATACTTGAGCTCGAGTTCTAACCCAAACTTTTGAGCTAATCGAACTTGTACCTTTTGAGTTCATGAACCAAAATTATTGAGCGAGTCGAGCTGAATCGAGCTATCTATATATCTGCGGAGTCAAGCTAGAGCCCCAATTTTTTAAGCTCGTTCGAGCCGAGCTCGAGCTCAAGCCAATACAATATATTTCGAGAATGACTCCATATATTTTTCCTAAATAACCTACCACTAATTAATAGATGATCGTAGAAACAACTCATAAGAGGAATCGACCACATTATTTTCACTAACATTTCACTCTTATATTTTACTATCAGGACAAAAGGTCAGAATAATTCAGATCAAATAAGAGTAGATAAAAAAAAATCAGATTAGAGGAGACTAGATCTTAAAAAAATCAGATAAGAAACACTCAGATGAGAGGAACAGAAGAACTTCGTGGTCATCGTTTTTATGAATAGGAGAAAAAGTGTGTTTATCTTATTCAATTTTTTAATTAATTCTTGATTTAGTTTGACCTCTTCCGAATATATAAATATAAATTACATATGTGTTAATAGTAATATCATCAATATGATAAATATTTTTTGAATAACAATAATAATATCTTTAATTATTAGAAGATATTATTATTAAATATGATATGAATATGATATGGTCCTGGGTATTAAATAAAAGTGAATAGAAGTGCGTTTGATGGAGATGCCATGCATGGTGAAATGAAGAAGAAAAAGGAGGTTTGCGGTGGTGGAAATAAGAGGCGGCCATTGATGAAAGCCTTGTGGCCGGATTTGAATGAAACAAGGCGTAGCAGGAGGCTGAAATAAGGGTTGAATGTTCCGTCCCACACCGTTTAGGCTGAAAGAATGCGGGCCTCCTAAAGGCTATAAGAGGAGCGGCTCATCCATCTTCAAAGTCATACCTTTCTCGGCCTTTTGGCTAAGATCAAGTGTAGTATCTGTTCTTATCAGTTTAATATCTGATATGTGGGCTATTAGCCCACACGATATTAACTCAATTTTTTGAGGGGGAAGGCCCGCTAAGGCAGCTTGCTGTCTGGGACTTCGAGCGTCGCCTTGGCGTTGCACTGCTGCCATGGCCCGGCGCACCCCACCAATGTTAGTTCAATTTTGAAAGAATTTCTGTCCGCCAGCAATTCTAAGGCTCACGTCTTCTCTTTTTAAAATCCCTATCCTTAGAAAAATGCACACAAATTTTGTTTTGGTTTGGTACATCTGTTTTGTACGAAGTAACTTGTAGGAGGTAGCGTTAAATTAAAAAAAAAAAAAAATTTCTGCAATCACAACAATTAATAAAAGTTCCGCAATGATCTCTTACTTTATTATTACTTTATCAATTAAATTCCAACCATATAAATCACATTTTCTTAATTTTCATGTCACTTCCTTTTGTCTCATTGTTAATGAGATGGAGAGAGTACATATTTAGGGGTTGTTCTCGGAGTTCCTGCAATTCTCTCTCAAAACAGGTAACCCTTTTCTCTCTCAAAGCAGGTAACCCGTATTGTAATATGAAAAGTGTATAATTTTTGTGTTGTATTAGAAAACACAGTAGTAAATATAAACTCTGAGGGACAAAACAATTTTTAGTGCTAATTTTTATAAAAAACAATATTCTTTTGTAATATATTTTATAAAATACAGTATTAAAATAATAAAATATTTTTTTTAAAATTTTTAGAAAAACAGTTTGTTGTACTAATAAAAAAACTGCTTATTTTTTGTAATAAGTTTTAGAAAAATCAATGTAACATGTTAAACTTGTAACAAAGTTTAACATGAGGGGGGTGAATTTTTCAAAATGTTTGATGTTGCAATAATATACTCCGTATGTAACATATTAAATTGTTTATAAGTGTAATATGAGGGGGCCTGATTTTTTAAAATTAATTTTTTATAACTTCAATAAATGATACTCCGTAATATTTATAGAACAGAAAATAACTCATGTACGAGTAAGTTGAATATGATTAAAAATATCTACCGGCCCTTGCTACAGAAACACTAGTACAAAAAAGGCTTTTCACATCGGTCAAAAAAGTCTTTTCACATCGGTCAAACGGCCGATGTGGTTCCAGCCCATGTGAAAAGTATTGACTTTTCACATCGGTCAATGAACCGATGTGGAAATTCTTTCAACATCGGTCGTTCAGTGCCCGATCTAGAAGATAATCCAAAACGGGGTGTTTAATGATATTTCACATCGGTTATAACACATGTAGAAAAGCAATCACATCGGTTATTTTACAAGTGATGTAGAAAAGCTTCAATTTTTCCCCGGAGCATAAGTTTTTCACATCAGTTATAACCCATGTAGAAAAGATTTCACATCGGTCGTTTTATCAACCGATGTGAAAAGCTTCAATTTTTTCGGTATTTTTCAGGGAAAAAATTGCAATATGACCCCGTTTATACTATAATCACATCATTGATAGTATTATCAACTACTATAACACAAATTTTCACCTATTCACTTGATCCATCTAAAACAATAATACAAGCTATTTTTCAATTCTTCCACAAATGTTCAACAAGTTCAAGTAACAACTTAGTACATAATAATAAGCTAAAATAAAACAATCTTTGCACAAGTCTAGAGTAATAACACATTGTATAAAGTTACAAGTCTCATCATCACTCAAAAACTTGAACAAACACGTTCATCATGTGTCGTTGATGGATTGCGTCATTTCTAAGAAATATGATGCCCAACGAGTTCGCGGCGTTGTAGTAAAACGGAGTCTAACCTTTCGGGTTTTCCCCGAGTATCGTCTCTTGAGGAATGACGGAGGAGTTTCTTGATTTTAAGCCCATTCACAGGTTATCGCAAATTATTAGAAGCTTTCCAAATTAAAACTGCTGCCATGGCCCGGCGCACCCCACCAATGTTAGTTCAATTTTGAAAGAATTTCTGTCCGCCAGCAATTCTAAGGCTCACGTCTTCTCTTTTTAAAATCCCTATCCTTAGAAAAATGCACACAAATTTTGTTTTTGTTTGGTACATCTGTTTTGTACGAAGTAACTAGTAGGAGGTTGCGTTAAATTAAAAAAAAAAAGAAATTTCTGCAATCACAACAATTAATAAAAGTTCAAACATTACTGCCTCGGTTCTGCAATGATATATCTTATCTTACCCTACCTCTAAATCATTCTTACTTTATTTAGGGCTTTATTCAGGGATTGTTCTCGGAGTTCCTGCAATTCTTTGAAAGCAGATAACCCGTATTGTAATATGAAAAACAATATTTTTTTTACAGTAGTAAATATAAACTCTTAGGGACATCAATTTAGTGCT